TGCTGAGTAACAGGTATGTAGTAGTAAGTGAGTAATTGTTATTCATTAGTAAGTTAATAATTAATGTTAATGTTTAGTAATAAAAGGAATAGGGAGAGTAAATGTAGTGGTTACTTGGTTATATTGTGAAAAAGTGTTAGTAAAGAAGGAAGAATAAATAGCAAGAAGAAGAAGAAGATAATGATGATGATGATGATGATGACGATAATAACAATGATGATGATGATAATAATGTTAATATTGATGATGACAGTGACAATAATAATGGAAATGGTAGCAATGAATAAAATGGTGAAAGAGAGGAGAAAGACGAAGAAGAAAAAATATGAAGAATTATAATTATTATTTTGATAAGATAACCTATCCTTACTTTCAAATAGATTTCCTTAAACAGTGCTAACTCTATTCCGATACATACCAACACTCCTTGTGTGTAAAGACAAACTGTGCCTCATCGCACGCAGGTACAACACGCACTACAGGAAGGCAATACAGACGTGGGTGAGAGACCTCTCCAATAGCATAGAGGTCATCAACACCTGGCTCACCGTACAGAACCTGTGGCTGTACCTGGAGGCCGTTTTCATCGGCGGAGACATCGCGCGCCAGCTGCCCAAGGTACGCTGCCGTCGAGTGCCGCAGTCGTAAACAAATGTCCTATGCTAACTCCCCTCTTCGTTTGGATTTCTTTGCTCCATCAGCAGCATTCTTCAGCCCCTATCAAGTGGTTTACGAGTGATGCATCATGTGGCACATAGTCTTCCTCGAAAAACGAAACGCGTTTGCAAGTGCAACTAGAAGATGAGGTGGCGGAACAGTATTTCACGTGTTTTTAAAAAGCTGCTTTGAACGTAGGAAGCGCACAGGTTCAATGGCATCGACAGATCGTGGCAAAAGATCATGCAGAAGGCGAGGGAGGTTCGGAGGGTCGTAGAATGCTGTAGCTGTGATGAGATGCTGCTGCTGCCTCACATACTCGAGCAACTCGAAACCTGCCAGAAGTCACTCACTGGGTATTTATTAATTAGATAATAATAATAATAATAATAATTATTATTATTATATAAATATTTACTTTTATGTCTATAAATCTATGGGAAATGCACCATGAGTTTTTTATGTGTTTATTTTTAAGCAACTCTAGTGCAAGTTATATATATTCTAGAATACTCTACCATGCAGCACGCATTTGGTAATTGCACCGTAACAGGCTGCCTCCAATTGGGCCATCGTAGGTCAGGTGCCACATATGACCACAACCGTCTTCGTATATGCTGTGGGTATAGAAAAATGCAGAGACGTTCATCTACCTGGTTATGCATCGACCCCCTTCGCAATGAAACGCACAGATTTGTTGACGTCGTATTTGCAGGTACCTGGAGAGCAAGCGAGCGCTGTTTCCTCGTTTCTTCTTCGTGTCCGACCCAACTCTGCTAGAGATCCTCGGCCAGGCGAGCAACTCTCACAACATACAGCGCCATCTACTGAGCGTGTTCGATAACACTCAGACTGTAGAGTTTCATCGAAAGGATTATGACCGCATTTTGGCGATCGTCTCCTCAGAAGGTGAAACTATAGAGGTAAGTGTTATGTCTTGGCCTCTGTGTTACGTCTTGGCCTCTGTCCAAGTGTTTCTGTGTATCTATTCAAGTGTTTCTGTGTAGGTTCACAAACAAAACATGCACGGCATTTTGGCGGTCACTCAACTTGTTTTATTCTAGACTAGTCACGCCATCTCGTGGACGCAATACATGACAGTAAGGAGTGTGCTGAAAGAATTTTTTTACTTTAATTGAGATGAAGTGTGCTTTTATGTTTGAACGAAAAGAGGTGCATGAATCCAGAAGTGGGCACCAAGAAGGCATCAGTTTAAAACCATGTCCAATCTATAATCATATCCACATCAGTGTCTATATCCAATCCTACTATCCCCTCGTTTTATTAGGCGTTTTATGCATGTTTATGCATGTTTTATGCATTTATCATGTTTGTGAGATTCATTAGTTGTTGTTATTTGTGGCTGATGTTTACGCTGTGACGGAATGTTTACTTCTCCGCATGCATAGCTGGAGAGACCTGTAAAGGCACAAGGCCCCATTGAGAAGTACAGTAAACACCCGCATAAAAGAACCCGTGATTTTCTGTTTCAGGCTGAAGTGGTTCTTATATATATGGTACATAGTGAGAAATCAGCCTGAAGAGGTTCTTAAAGAGGTTCTTAATTTTGGGGGAGATATTGTGTACATTATCTAGGTAAAATTGGCTTTAATTAGTGAATAATTGACACTAATAATATTCACACCATCCTCCCCCTCAATCCTCTGTATCGTCAAAATCAAGCCCCAACATTTACTGGAAAATGAGGCAAAATACCCCCTGGAAAATCCAATCCTCCTGTGAGGAGGTATTAATATTATCTGGAACTACATGTTATTGGTTTCCAATGGTGTAGCACACATACTTGGATTGCCCCATTTTGCTCTAATTTCTGGCATTTTTTAATATAAGAACCTGTTTAATTTATCAGGCTGAAGAGGTTCTTATATAATAGGTGCTTTATTGGTCCAATTTCAGCCTGGAGGTTCTTAAAAGCACGGGTGTTTACTGTAGCTCATATCATTGAAACTCATGTATTGTAAGGAGTGTTTAAGTGAATGTTTACTTCTCTGCGTGTAGCTGGAGAGACCCGTGAAGGCACAAGGCCCCATCGAGGAGTGGCTCATGTCTCTCCTACAGGTGGCGCAGCAGTCACTACATGGTGTCATTCGCGCGGCCGCCGACGCCGTCAACGACAAGGACTTCAACCTGATGCAGTTTCTGCAGCATTTTCCTGCGCAGGCATGTTTACTTATTTATCACTGGAAACATACATAGAAACAAAGAACTAATGTGAATGTATTTGCGTTGCATGTGTGTGTGTGTGCGTGCGTGCGTGCATGCGTGTGTGCATGCGTGCGTGCGTGTGTGTGTGTAATCATGTGGTTAATGTAATGTTGTGTGTATGTATTCAGACTGATGAATCAAAGCAGTAGTCGGTTCTTTAAAATTTACTACACATTTATTCACGAACATCATGTTCCTGCCATTTCTTGCTCCTCGTTGCTACCCCCTTCTTCCGTTTCCTCAGCCCAGTGGCGTCGCTTCTAGGACACTAAGAACAATACAGTTAACTAAATTTATTAAATGAATTTTTTTTCATAAACAACACAATATGTTAACCTCCTGCTGGTGAGCACACAGACGGTGTACTATGCCAGTACCTCTAGTAGATTAGATTGGCTTTTGGAAATCAACCTTTCATTAGTGTCAAATACAATCCATACTCTATGTAAGGTAACTTAATGGAAACCTTACTCTAGCACCCTCAGACAATCACCAATAGTATCTACGTGAGGAGACACCCTGCATAGAGTTGACACCAGTCTATAAATTATAGACTGGTGTCCACTCTATGCAGGGTGTCTCCTCACGTAGACTAGTAAAATATCATCACCGTCTGTGCCTCATGCTCCTTAATTCTCCACAGGTCGGCTTGCTGGGCATACAGATGATCTGGACGAGGGACTCGGAAGCGGCGCTCAGGAAGGCTAGGACCGACAAGAAGGCGATGCCATTGACCAATCAGAGCTTCCTCGGCATGCTGAACGCGCTGATTGGACGGACGACGGCGGAGCTCTCGCGCGCCGAGCGCACCAAGTTCGAGACGCTCATCACCATCCACGTTCACCAACGAGACATATTCGACGATCTGGTACTTCATATCTATATATTCATATATCATCATATTCACTAGATCATTATATATTTATATTCATATATGTGCCCACGGAAGCCACCCGTTTCTCCACGTCTACATTGGCACATCTGAACTGTGGAGTTAATTTGGGTTTCCCATTCCTATATAATAAACAGACTTGTGAGCAATCTATACCCACGGTAACTGAACACATGTAAAATCTTAGCATATGTGTATCGTATATAATAGACACGTGTAGCATGTAGCTTTTTAGAGCCAGTGGTGGAATAGTCTTTGTACATTAATTTCTCCTGCCGCAGTGTCGTATGGGAGTAAAGTCTACGGCTGACTTTGAGTGGTTGAAGCAGTCACGGTTTTACTTCAACGAGGATGCGGATTGCACACTGATCTCCATCACAAACGTGAACTTCACTTACCAGAATGAGTTTCTGGGCTGCACAGAACGTCTAGTTATTACACCTCTAACTGACAGGTATGAAAATATACATAGCTGTCCACTGACAAATATGATTCAAGGTTAGCGTAACTTGCAGATAAAGGTCTTTAAGTACACCCTGACATAAGGAGCCGAGGCCATGAATTATCCAAACAAACACAAGAAAGCCACAAATAGATAGTTAATAAGGTAGCTTAATTAATTAGTAATTAAGTCAATATAAATACCTATAGCAGTAAAGGTAAGCTTAGGTGTTTGGTCATACATCGACAGTTGTACTACAGATTTACTTCCAGACAAGATTTTGCTACTCTGCTGGCTAGATCTCATCTCTGACTTTCCTCTCGTCATCACACGTCTTTTCATGTGTGATTCACATTATAGGTGCTACATCACCCTAGCCCAGGCAGTCGGCATGTCAATGGGAGGAGCACCGGCTGGGCCAGCGGGAACCGGGAAAACAGAATCTGTTAAGGATATGGGACGATGCCTGGGAAAATATGTGGTTGTGTTCAACTGCTCTGACCAGATGGATTACCGAGGCCTGGGGCGCATCTTCAAAGGTAGCAAACAGTTAATTAATGGTCGATAAATTCGTGACAGCGATAGATCATGGCTTATATTCTACAGTAAACGTGGCAGGTACGTGTGACACGTACTACAATGCAGTCTTGTCAACTATGCAATGTAATTTATTCCTCATATTGTAAAATTCTTTTAGTCTATACAATTCAGGGCAAATGCTAGACCATATACAAAACTGGACCATCACTCGGTCTTCATTGAATTTGTGTATGACATGTAAATCAGCGATTCATGATGCTAGACTAAATGTCATGTCGATAAGTAATATTGATGATGATAATTCTTGTACCACTTTTGTCGTGCAGGACTAGCACAATCGGGGGCGTGGGGCTGCTTCGATGAATTTAACCGGATAGAGCTGCCAGTGCTGTCTGTCGCAGCTCAACAGATTGCTGTCGTACTCACCGGCAAGAAGGAGCACCAAAAGCAGCTTGTGTTCACAGATGGCAGCACTACTGCGGTGAATCCAGAGTTTGGAATATTCATCACCATGGTACGATGTTTTGCGAGTCGTTTCCTATTGGCCTCTGTTTTCTTTTTTTCTATGAAAGAATCCGTGCGATATTGTCGATGTGATGGGCGAAGGTATAGCTACATACATTGATTTTATTTCTATTGTAACATGACCATAAACATATTTTGTGCATATCATATATGGAAAGTTTTCAATTAAATTGAACTTTGAAATTAAATTTTGTACGTACATTTTTAAACTACATTATGTTTATTTTTGTCATAAAAATCTCGTAAACAATCATGTGATTTTGCGATGTCCAGAACCCGGGTTATGCTGGACGACAAGAGCTGCCTGAGAATTTAAAGGTGCAGTTCCGCACGGTGGCCATGATGGTTCCGGACCGACAGATCATCATCCGCGTAAAGCTGGCAAGCGTGGGTTTCATGGACAACGTGGTACTGGCACGCAAGTTCTACACGCTCTACAGGCTGTGCGAAGAACAGCTCAGTAAACAGGTGCGTGCTATAGTGCTGTGGGCTCCTGCCTCTAGACATTAAACTAAGCAAGTCAGGTTCTGCTCAGCACACCGCCCCAAAGACCCGGATGTTTATTCTTACCATAAAGTAAAGTTCTTACCGGATGTGGAATGTCGATATGTTGTAGGTCCACTATGACTTCGGTCTGCGCAACATCTTGTCAGTGTTGAGAACACTTGGAGCTGTGAAGCGGAGCAACCAGAGCGACAGTGAGGCTACGGTCGTCATGCGCGTACTGAGGGACATGAACCTATCTAAACTGGTGCGTGCATGTAATGGATTATATCATATGTGTTGTGTTACGTATGGTGTGTGTGCGTGTGCGTGTGCGTGTGCGTGCGCGTGCGCGTGCGGGTATGGTGTGTGTGTGTGTGTGTGTGCGTGCGTGCGTGCGTGCGTGCGTGCGTACGTGCGTGTGCATCATACGTGCATGCGTGTGTGTGCACCTTGAGTGTGTGCGTGCGTGCGTGCGTGCGTTTGTGTGTCGGTATCTGTATCTGTATCTGTGCATACATGTGCATGAGGTGTGTGTTTGTGCATGTGCATGTATGTGTCAGTATCTGTATGCATGCATGTATGTGTCAGTATCTGTATGCATGCATGTATGTGTCAGTATCTGTATGCATGCATGTATGTAACAGTCAGATAGGTAGATGAAACACAAAAATGGGCACAGCATAAAATGCTTTCTTCCAAATTTGCATAGAGTATATATAGATCTCATCTCCCACATTATGAGCAGTGACTCAGCAGTCCCTACAGACACGTGCAAGATATACACATTGACTTCTTGTTTCGCGCTTTTAGAGCAGGCACTCTGCATACATGCCTGCTTGTTTAATTCCTACAGATAGATGAGGACGAGCCGCTCTTCCTGTCTCTCATCGCAGACCTGTTTCCGGGCATCGTGCTGGACAGCGCGGGCTACCCGGAGCTGGAAGCTGCCATCGCCACGGTGATCGAGCAGTCGGGCCTCATCCACCACACTCCGTGGATGCTCAAACTGAAGCAGGTTTGTAGTTCAATACGCTCAAGACCAGAGAGGATATTTTTTACTGATTTCAGTGCTGAGAAAAGTTAAATGACATTGAAAATTATTATTTTTTGCAATGTACAAGTATTTTATTAATCGTCTAACATTCTAGGACAATAGGAGTTATAT